CCTCTGGGGATCTCTCGCGTACACGTCGTGAGGCCGTAGAAGAGAGGGTTGCCGGAGGTTGGACAGGGCCGAGGGAAAGATAGAGATAGAGAGAGAGAGGGAGAGAGAGAAAGAGAGAGGACGAAGGAGGTCCGTTGGACCAGCTAGAGCGGACGGAAGGGGAGAAGGAGAGCGCGAAGGCGAAGAGCAAGAGAGATGGGCAGGGAGGCTGGGGCGAAAGGAGGACGCGGGGGTGGACGAAGGAGCGAAACGTACGATCAGTAGCTCGCGTATGTAACATACTATCTTGAATATGCGCATACATCGCGAGCTGGCCACGTATTCTGAGAATCGGTTAGGCGATCGGGTGCGCGGGAGCTGCCCGTCTCTCGGCGTAATTACCTTCTTTCTTTCTTTCTTTCTGGATTCCCCTCGTTCGCCACCCGGTGCGCGGCGTCGTGCTCCTTTTCTGCCCCCGCACGGTCGCGATTCCGCCATCGTCACGTTCGCCCCGGCTCCCTTTTATTCCCGCGCTGCGTCGCCCTCGCGCGCGCTACAGCAGCTACGCGAGCACGCGTCTTGTTCTACAGGTAACGAACCCGGCCTGACGGGGAAGGGAATATCGCGCGATCGTCGGGGAGCGGGAAGGCCGGACCGATCGATCGTGGGGCACCGGACGTTTCGTTGCGAGTTAATTAGGTTATTCGGCGATGTCGGTGCCGCGCGCGGCAGCGCGGCGCAAGGATACCCACGAATAATGGTCTAACGATCGGGGACGGTGCCGGAAAAAATTACAGTGTTGAAATTCGAAAGTTAATGGAACAGGTCATTTAATGAGCGCCGATTTGAATTCCCTATACGTCTCGCAGGATAGACGAATACTGTACAAGCGTACAGTACAGATAAGAGAGCATAACTTCAAAGTTAGTCAGTCGAACGGTACTCATTATAAGACCATAAATAAGGAGAGAAGAACCGTTAAAGACGCGGTCGTCGAGGTAAATCACGGTGAGATATATACACGTCAGGAGAAAAATTTCGAACCACTTCATTATCCTGTGTTTCTGAATCCAGATCCACTTCGGCATCATTAATTTCCTCCGCTAGGCGACTTGTCCGACAAGTTGTTGCCGAACCGCGAACGTCCTATCGACAACTCCGCTTATACTTCCGTTCAGTGGGTTTGCCATCTTGTCTGTTTCTACCGAGAGACGGGACAAGTTTGATCAGTGGCGTATTAATGCCATCGCGAAAGGAATGCGAAGTGATGGAGTCGGTTTTAGGATACGGGGATCGCATGAGAACTGTGCTCGTCGTTGGAGCCAACCTGAAAAATAGTGCAACCGTGTGTTCTCAATCCTCGATTGAATTTCTCCCTCTTTCGTCGCGACGTTGATCATTAGCGCCTCGTCCTACTTTCTAACAGTCGATCGTCAAAATAATATGTAATTTCCAATCGGGAATTATTTCGGCAGAAAAGCTCTCACACGGAGTCGGTGCGAAATTGTCTTCGAAGCGGGCATATGATCCCTCCAAGTCTTTCTCTCATTCCTCTTCCATTTCTTGCTGCGGGAGGAAATAAATCGTGCAGTTAGTAGCTTGCACGTATGACATACTATCTTGAATATGCGCATATATCGCGAGAGGCACGCGTATTCTGGGAATCGCTTAATGCGCGATCCATCGTTGCGCTCGAGCTCGTCTTCTCGTAATTGGTTCCTTCCTTTATTTTCTCCCCTTCTAAGCCTCTCCGCGAGATTCATTACTATTCTTTTTGGTCTCTCGCATACCGATCCGCGCACTCGAACGAATATGACTTACACGCTCTCGAATTTATGCCTCTGCGTGTTACGCGGACTCTCCTCTCTGCTCACGATCTCGCATTTCCGCGGCATTCTCACACAGCACGAGAAGTTCAGCTATCGTAAAAGTGCGACCGCAGCCTTTCTCACACGAGCGCGCATTCTAAGAGCGCATCTCGCAGAATACCGAAACTGCTCCAATTAGCGACAGCGCGTATAGGCTGATGCGAGAATGCAAGCAAGACGGTTTGCTCGCTAGCTAGGTTCCCGTTGAAATTAAGGTACGCAGGCGAGAATTAAGGTGCTCCGGGATAGTGAGGGTCAAGGCGCGAGACTTCCTACTTGTCCATTGCGCCTGAGGTTTTTTTCCTCTCGGCATCATTGCGTTCCTTCGCGAGAAGCTCTCTCCCTATATCGCCGCGACGGCGTTTACTCCACCACGAACACGCCTGGCTCTTCGAGCTAACGAACGATCTTGCCAACTGGCCCTCGTAGGAGATGACGCATATACTCCTTCCTAGTCTCCCCTTTTCTATTACGGGAGATGGTGGTAGCGACAAGAAGAAGCGGAGAGAGAAAGAGAGAGAGAGGGAGGGAAGGAGGAAGAAAGAGGAGAAGGAGAAGAGAGAGAGAGAGAGTTCTAATCAAGGTGGCTTGCTGGAACTTCCAACTCCTTTCGCTCGGAACGGGACGTCGAGTTCCAGGTACGTCGATCTCGCGTTCCACGCTACAGGAAGCTCAGCGCGCCGAGGAAGATTATAGAGTGTCTGCATAGAGACGGTCCGAGTTTGCACGGAGATGAGCACCGGGCAAGCGTTGTCGGCAGAGCGGTGGAGAGTGATTCTCGGGGATAAGCCGAGCAGGATCGTAAAATTTGTCGATTAAATAATTTGAAGACTCGTCGAAACTTGGCGAAACTAGTTTCGGCTTTCGCGAGATACCGCCGTGTAAACGCGGTCGCCGCTACGACGGAGCATTCTCGAGCGGGCTTGCGAGCTCCGTGGATTATGAAAATGCGAAATCCCTCACAGGACCACTTCCCGCGCGTACATCGACAACTGGAACGTGTCGGATCTGTGTCTCTCGTTTGAGCACAGTGACGCGCGTGCGCGCGGAAAATAAAACAGTTATAGTCGCCGCGTAATTGTGATCAACCACGTCGATGAAGACAATCGCGAGTGAAGCAAAGGCTACACCAGTGGAGAAACAACTGGGGCTTCTTGACGCGTAGAGATGAGACTAGACGGGACTAGATGAAACTAGAGGACGACGTCGTGTACTCGCCGTCGAGGAAAAAAGAGGGCGTCTGCGTCGAAGCGCGTACTAAAGGGTGTCCCAAACGACGGTCAAATGTAATCCCTCGGAACGGTCGGAATCGGCGGCATTAAGCGAAACCCTCGTCGTTCAGGCTGCATGTTGAGACTTCTGGCCGGTCGTTCGGCTTCGAGGCCGCGCTGGTGAGAATAGGTCGGTGGCTGGGTGTTGAATAGGCGCTGTTACAGAAGGTAATGCGTGTACGAGAGAGGACTCCGAGGTGAGGTGGCGGAGGTTGTGGGACACACGGAGGGAGAGAAGACCGAGGCGGCGCGGCCGAGGTGTTAACATTTGCTTTATAGCGACCGCTCTACACCCGGCCAATGGTTTAATACTTATGTCGGCGCGCACCGCACGAGCGCAACACACAAACACCACGCGGCGCGCTCGTAGGAGGCATCCACCTGCATACATTGGTATTAAAGGGACACGGGGTGTTTATATATAGATCCGCCGTAATGTGAGCCCGTTAAACACCGAAATGATCCACGCGCCGGCAACCGCGCACGTGTGTGCGCCGCGTTGCTGCTTATTGGCAGCGAGAGATCCGTGTGCCATCGGCGAAATGACGGGATTCACTTCTCTCGGACGGGGTAGTGCCGAATGTTCTGCCCTCGTCGCGGTTCTGTCGTTGGTTGATACATTTTTATCTCACTTCGTCCGGCTGTGTGGGTAATATGCGTCCGGAAATAAGCGATGACGACATCACAGCAATGTCAGCAATCACGATCGCGTGAGTGTGTCGAGGAACAAATAAGTCATTGGCACGCGGAAAGATACACACTGCAATCGTCACTGTAAACGTTACTTGTTTCAAGAGTATTTCGTGAGTATCCGTAAATCTATTACAAGTTCATTGTAAGCGTTGAATTTATTCGAAATATCCTTTCACTTAAGCATATTAGGGTAAAACAGAAGAATTCGGTTTGCTCACTACACAGAACCAACTTTGCCTCTGGTAAGGTTTTGCGATATTCTTGTGGGGAGAAGAAGAGAACTCTTCCTTCGAGTATATTTTGAGCGAGTATATTCTGAGACTGTTGTCGGGACAATATTCTTGGTCGAAGTTAACCATCACTTAGAAGAGAGAAATTAAATTGAAACAGTCGCTTTTCTCAGTAGTAGAATAGTCCTCTTCTGTTTGCATCGTTATGATTATGATGGGTCGCTGTAGAGCGTGAAATTCAATCACGGAGCATGCAGCGAAAACGCAACGACAGAAATATCGGAAGCCAATCGACTCGCCAATCTGTATATTCTGATTTTATGGTAGCTCGCGCGTTAACGCGCCCATAGACATCGCGTTACCATATGTCGGCGTCGCAGAAATATACGACGTGTACCACCGTGGACTGTATAATGGAGACCCGTTAAATAGTGAAATGACCGGCGAGTTTATACACGCCGCTATGAGATGTTAATACGACACCCGTTGTCGGGCCAACGCGTGCGTCTCTTCCTTCTCCCGTTTGTCTCTTTCTCCCTCTCTCTCTCTCTGTCTCTTTCTCGCTCGCGCGCGACGCCTTACGCTCGTCTCGCTTCTTTTCTCTCGCGTTTTCGATCCGCTCTGCCTAGCCGCTCCCCCTCCCTCCCACTGCCTTTCCACCCCCCTGCCATTTGACCACGCTCCTTTATTTTATAGTTATGCAGCGAGGACACTTTTACTACGACCGCGCGAACATTTCGCGGTTCCAGTTGGCGGCGAGCGCTTTTATTGCCGCGCGAGCGTTTTTACCCCCGAATACGCCGCCCTTTATTTATCGCAAAGCAGTCACGTTGCGGAAAGAGCGGACGTAGCGTAGCGTGGTGCCGAATGAGAGACAGAATCGCGGCCGAACACAGCTCGAAAATCTAGAGATAGTAAACGACGATCGATCGAACGATTGACCATATTGCTCAACTCACTTTGTGTAGAAGCTCTCTTTGCAATCCGCGCAGACAAAGTTCCGTTGGCGGCCGGTCTTGTCCAAGAGTTCCGGCGACAAGGAGATGCTGCACACCTTCCGATGAGCGTTGAAGTCCGACCTTTTCGAGAACGAGACCGAGCACTTCGCGCAGGGAAAGGGTTTCTCGCCGGTGTGGTGTCTGATGTGAATTTGTAGCGAGGCTTTCGTCAGGATCTTCTTGCAGATGGGACATCGATATTTCGGCAACGGCTTGTCGGAACTGGACGTGCCTTCGTCCGTCTCAAATGCGCCGGCATGGAGAGCCTCGTGAAAGACATATTCGGCTTGGGAATTCGTGGAATATACGCAGTCCTTGCACTTCCATTTTTTCTTCGCACTCATCATTTGAGCCATGCCTATTTCGCCGTCGGCCTTGGTGCCGCAATTGCCTTCTCGTGTGTGCCTAGTGACTTCTTGCGAGAGCGCGAAGAGCACACCGCATCGAGGGCATCTGTTCGAAAGAGATCATATAATGTACAGACAATGTACAATCATAATCGAACGCATAGTTCCTAAGAACGTGGTAGAACGTGCGCAAAAGTGAAAAATTGAAAGTATCAGTTCATTGACCTCTTCAGTGGTGATTTAAAGTGACTACGCGATTCTTCCCAGGACGGAGAGGTTTTTTTAAATAAACATATCTAGATCTTTTTTCTGCTTATTGCCATTTACTTTGGAGAATTCGGAAAAATGGAATACAAGATATATCTAATTTTTGTATTTGCTGTAAGTTAAGAAATATAATACAGTTTGAATAAATCAAGAGAAATTTAATGTTTTACCATTTGAAGAGTTAAACAAAATTTTGTTAAAAATTATAAATTAAAAAAAAGAGGCACATATCGTGCTGTTTCATGAATAACAGAAAAAATAAGTTACCTGTGGCATATTTCCGGATAACAATGCAGAAGGTGATTTAAAATGACTACGCGATTCTCCCCAGGACGGAGAGGTTTTTTTAAATAAACATATCTAGATCTTTTTTCTGCTTATTGCCATTTACTTTGGAGAATTCGGAAAAATGGAATACAAAATATATCTAATTTTTGTATTTGCTGTAAGTTAAGAAATATAATACAATTTGAATAAATTAAGAGAAATTTAATGTTTTACCATTTGAAGAGTTAAACACGATAAAATTTTGTTAAAAATTAGAAATTAAAAAAAAGAGGCACATATCGTGTTTACCATCATGAATAACAGAAAAAATAAGTTACCTGTGGCATATTTCCGGATGACAATGTAGAAGGTGATTCTTGTACGCCGAGAGATTCGGACACTTGTCATTGCATTGAAAGCATTCTCGCACCGTAGTCTCCGACAATCCTTCTTCACTCTTGCGGGCTTTTACGGCCTCCTTATGACTGGAAGTTCTCCGATGTCGGATCGCTTCGTGGGTGGTGGTGAAGTTCATCGAGCAGAACGAGCAGAAGTACGGCGCCGGTCGCGCGAGCATCGTCGTCGTCGTCGTCGTGTCTTTGCTCTTTCCCTCGTCCTTGGCGACGTGATAGTGTAGCTGATGACGCTGCAGCGAGATTAGAGACCGTACGATCTTCGGGCACATGGCGCACTGAATACGTTGCTGATACTCGTCCGAGGCGGTGAAACTCGGCTCGTGGCCCGTCTCTTTCGCGTGCGTTCGCAGCTGGAAGTTGTATCGGAATTGCCGGTCGCAAGTGCCGCAGGGCAAGGTTCGTTGACGGCTAATTACCACCGGCACAGAACCGTTCATCATAGACACCACTTCACGGTGAGCCGCGCTGAGAAGGTGGAACTCCATCGTCTCGCTGTCCTCGCACCAGAAATCGCACGGAGTGCATTTGCAATTGCCGCCGATCTGAGGAGAATGGAAGGAAGAGTGACGATGAGCGTCGGGACGAGCACCTTGACACGTGAATCGAGCAAGCCGGGTTTGTCAAACAGCTGAGATCACAACGGCAAGCAGAAGGCTCGGTTGAAGCCTTCGGTTTTGTGAAAACGCCTAACAAGCGATCGACGACTCACCTGTTCTAAGGTCTTGACATGAAGATCCGAACGCCAGTGGAGCAAGAACGTCTCCTCGGTGTTGCAGTAAAAACGACAAGAGGCGCATTGGAAGGAGCACTGTCGAACCACATTCGCCATGTTTTCCAGCAGGAAGCGGCGTGCGCTGGGACTGCAAGGATTCATTCCTGCCACGCGGCAATGGTAATGGGAAAGCAAATGTTTACCCATTTGAGGCCTCCTCACGCGCGTGCGGCACATCTCGCACGAGAGGAACTCCTTTTCTCTTCTGCGCACACCTTTCTTGCTTTTCTTTCGCTCGGGTTCTTCCTCTGCTTTCTGACAATACATATTATTACGGTGTTATCGAACAATTCGTAGGAGGAATGATATGAATAATGAATAAAAAAAAACAGGTTTTTGCTTTTCCACCGAGACATAGGAAGCAGAGAAGTTGTAAAACTCTCCAAATTCTCTGGAATGGGATAAAAATGAGTGAAAAGTGGCAGTATTTTTATCTGAAGCGATAATGACAATATTGCCACCCGAAATTGAGATTGAAAATATTTCATCCAAGCTTAGAGTGGGTTTTGGTTTTACATGAGCTAATGTTTCAGTCGATTGGAATATAATCCTGCGATAATCCAGTTAGACTCATTCTTCAGTCTCAAGTGAAAATATTCAATAGATTCAAAGTGAAGAATTAACTTTATATGACTATAGTCGCTCAAATTCGAATGAAGTTTCATTCCAAAAGTTGTTTTTCCAATAAACTTAGATTCAAGTTCTCTATTCTAACTCTGTTCTAATAATGTGTCTGATGTGTTTGAACAGAGTTTAAACTCAGAAGAGCCGGAGTTATATGACCCCAGTATGTCGCTCATACTACTTTTAATATTTATTTTGAGAGGAGTAGTGGGTACAAAATCGCGAAATAATCCTTTTACAACATAAATACTTTTTTTCCCTGAGTTTCATTAAATCGGGATAATATTATAGTTAAGGAGTAGAAAAAACTGATTTGACAATAGCAAAGTAAATTTTCGCCTCTTGGAATTTTGTATTAATATTCTCCATCGAATAAAATTAGAAAGATGTGTTATTAGTTAGAATGAAATTTCTTGCAAGTGTATGATATACTGTTGCTGATAATAAATGCAATTTTCATTCATAAAATGATTGAAATAGAACGTATGGACGGACGAGGTCAAGTTGATTTATAATTAAGCAGGAGACCTCTCGCAGAGACTCTGGAACTACTAATCAGGATATATATTTTATACGTGGCCTTCTTCACCTGTGCTATTGGATAACTGAAACTGTTATCATGGCAAGATGGCTCTGTTGTTCATACGTTGGTTATTACTAAACAAATACACGGTTAACAAGTGTCGTGGCGGACATTAATACCTAAAAGAAGGTTGCCTTTATCATGTTTATACAGTCAGTCACAATAATTAGTTGTCTGAGAAGTTGTAACCTTGAAATTCTAAAATATGCGGCATCTAGCCCCGGTCTCCCTTAAATCAAAGTTTGAACCGCTATTGAAAAATCATCTCTGAGAAATTTAGGGAGAAAAGAAGGTTAAAGAATCAAGAGAGAAGAGAAGATTAAAAGAATCAAAGACCGAGACACGAAGTTGCGCTTTGAATCACGCTGTCGACAAGTCTCTCCATGAATCATTACCGTTGCAAACGATGCCTTCCTACGAACGGACACTCTTCTGTTCGCGTACGAGCCCATCTCGCGTGGTAGATGAACACCGTCGTCGATTTCTCTAATACTCCTTCTAGCGTGCAAATCAGTGAGCAGATGCCTATTGTAGACCAATCGTGAGGCGAGCTTCCTGCCGCAAGGATTGCACCAATATCCCGATTCGATATCCGCTCGCGCACCCGGTATCCATTTCCCTCGCGTGTGTCTCGGCGGCGGCTGTCCGGATGTGTCCTTGCTCTCGTATTCCTCGATCCTCTGTAACAGTTTGATGTCTCTTTGTCCGACGAATCATTGTCGCCCGTACGAAGTCGTGCAACATCGTGTTACGTGTCGAATTCGAAAGGCTAAATTATGCAAGATTCTCTGGTAAAAATGATAAAAGCAGGAGAGACAGATTACGGGACTAATCAAAGTCCGATCAGGAGGCATGAGTGTGTTGTCCTTAACCGTTGTATTGTTTTCCTAACGCCGAGCAACGCTCGCGTCTACTGTTAATTTGATCTCAGACGAAATTTCCCTCTTACTTGCGTCGTCTCCGTGGGTTTCCATTTTCCGCCGATATACGTCGGCAGAGGAAGTTCGTGATGATCGTCCTCGGGATCCACATCCTCCTCATGCATATGTGGCATGTCCTGCGGCAAATCGCCGAGCTCGGGCTTCCACTTTCCACCGATGTGACCTCGTGGTGGACGTTCCCGATTTTCGCCGTCGTCGGAATCCGAGTAGGAGTCGTCGTCTTCTCCCAAATCGTCGTCCAGCATGTCGTCCTCCGAATCGTCGTCCTGTTGGTACTCGAAATCGTATCTAGTCAGCTCTTTGTTCTCGCTGTTTCCCAAAGTAAGGTCGGCGAGAATGGGATCCTCCAGCCAGGTCTGGTGGTCGGACTCCATTCCTCGCTGAGGATTCTCCTGCCTCTTTCGGTCGGTCTGCTTCGACTCGGTCATTAGACTCTCCAGCGACGTTTCCGACTCGTGTTTGGACGGGAAACTCGCGCCGTCCATGTTTGAATCGGCCTGCGACATCGATTGCGCCAATTTACCCTGCGTAACGGTCGCGGAGCTTTTGCCGGTCAACGAGATCGTCGAGGCGACGATGTCGGGAAACACGAGCGATTGGATGCATAAGTGAACTGGATCGTCCAGGTCGCTAACGGTGGGCAACATGCTGTGGAGTTTATCCTTCACGCCGGCCTCGTCGGCGTCCACCTGGACGTTCTTCTGGCCCTTATTCTTTCTGTCTTCTTTCTTGGACTTTCTGCCATTGCGCAGTAGGCTCGGTGCTGGTCGCAGATTCGACTTGCTGCTCTGCAACTCCAGCGAGTTGAAGAACGCGACCGCGTTTAGGATTTCGGGGTAGGACACCGTCGTCGGCGTCGAGGGTGATTCGTGGACGGTGTCGTTTTTATCGTCGGGCGGTCGACAGCCCGATTGACGATGCCGCACGTAATTGTCGAGACCGTGTATTGTCAAGTTGCATTTGATGCAAAAGTGCGTGTCGTCGTCGTCCTCAAAGGTCTCCATTGGTTGATTTTAAGTATCACTGGAAATATAAAGTGACAAGTGACAAGTTGGCTCCTCTTACCTTAAGAAGAAATTATTTTCTTTTCAAGAAGAAAGATCTTATACGTAATATTGTCATAAACAGATTTACTTATCTCTGTTTTCGTATCGATTATTTACCTCGATAATTTTAATAAAATCAATGGCTACGCGATCTACCGAAATACGATAATGTCATAAACACGTATTAAAACTTTACAATAATCTATAATGCTATAATATATATACAATGAATGTTGTATAAAACTTTAGAAACGTGTGTAATAAACGTATATACACTGTGAGAGAAAAGATATCTGGAAAATAAAAAAATATTTATCCGATTTGTTTGGATTATCCGAACATATTCACTTAAATCCAAATTCTTCTGTTTAAATAGAATAAACAGTTGCTTTCATGAAGAGAAACGGTGCGTATGTATGTTTTAGAAAAATAAATCTTTTTTTATTTGTAAAAGAGATTTTTTTTCAATGCAAAGATTCGTGTATTAACGAATAAATATGTTACTAGTACTCATGGAATAAATATTTTTCTTACTCTTTAGATATTTTTTTTCTCCCAGAATATTCATACAGGATGTTTCAGACCATCTATTCATCTCTTTTATTTTGAAAAGGGGTAGTGCTAGGAAGTTGGGGACGCATGTTTACCATAAAAGTCTATCTGAAGTTTCTGATATTTTCACCTGTGGGAAATTTCCGGAAATACCAGAAATCGAAAGCAACTTAAAAAATTCAAATGACAACATAGGCTAGTATGGATATCGTTGAATAGAGCTTTTAAGAGGAAACAACTTTTGCTTGAAAAAAAAATTTAATATTCCTCGGAAATGAAAAGATAATTACAGATGTTCAAAGTGTCTGCCACCTCGATGAAGACATCTTTTCATCTTTTGTCTCACGTTACCGACGGCTCTCAGGATTTCTGCAGAATTTAGAGAATGGCAAGCTTCCTGTGAACCCGTATAAAACCATTAACGTTTCAAATGCTTCTTCATTTGAAGAAGACATGATTTTCACTAAAGGAATATTAGTCGATAGACTACGCGATAGACTCGTGTGCTATAAGAGACAAGCGTGTCGAGACTAATCGTTCGTGTTTGGCTTGTAATCCGCATCACGAGTCAGACTTATTATGTTGTGTGTTTATTATATTTGACCTAAACAGCAGATTTCAGGAAGCTTACTATTCTTTAAATTGTGCAAAAGTCCTGAGACTTTACGCTACCGTCGGTAGCGTAAGACAAAGGCTTGAAAGGTGTCTTCATCAAGGTGGTAAATACTGTGAACAATTATTTTTTCATTTTCAAGGAATATTAAAATTTTTTTCCAGCAAAAGTTGTTTTTTTTTAAGTTCTATTCAACGATATCCTATGTTGCCATTTAAAAGTTTTAAATTATTTTCGGTTTCTGGTATTTCCGGGGATTTCCCAAAAGTGAAAATATTTAAGATTTTACGGGAAACCCGGTCCCAACTTCTTAGCATCACCCCTTTTCAAAATAAAAAAGATGGATGGGTGGTCTGGAACACCCTATATAAAGGATCTAATGTTAAACTCTAAAATATGTCTGTTGTATTTTATATTAATGTGGAAAATGTACACTGAGGGACAAATTACCTTAAAATCAACAAATATTTCTTTGATGGGTGCCATTAACATATTTACTTTAATCTAAATTCTCTTTATTTAAATCAAATATTGTTTACCTGATTTAAGTAAACAATATTTGGTTAAATAAAGAGAATTTAGATTTAAATAAATATGTTAATGGCACCCATCAAAGAAATATTTTAAGGTAATTTTTCCCTTAGTGTATAAGAAATCAATTGTGTACTTAGAAGAGTCGATTGATCGCGATACTTATCCTCTTCAACCATGCAATTTAATAAAATATAAATTAGGTATCTTATAAGAAACACACAAATACGCACACAATTAACATCAATTCGATCAAGCGAGCTTAGCCCGCGACCTTCCAAATGACAACACGCGCTTAGTAAGATTAAGTACGCCGCAACAGTCCGCGTCGCGGAGCCGTGCGGATCAGATCGCTCACTCTTGCAGATTTTCCGAGGAGGACTCGGAATGAGACGGATGAGACGGCGAATATCTCGCATGCGTAATTATCGTTTCGGGATCGTGAGTATCGTATGTCATCATTTAAAGGATATTTAAGAGTTTGTCAAATTTAGAGTATAAGTACATCAATCTTTTCGTGCGATTCGTCTTCTCGATTATGTCTCTCGCAGTTAATTATACTTATCAGTGATTTAGTCATAACTAATAAAGAAAATCGATGTTTGTTCCAGATCTAGCGGAGTACGTGGCCGCGTTGCAAAGACGAAGGTTGCTGCACCGGAGGATCCGGTTCGGGCAGGATCGACTGGAAAGTATGCAAACTTTTTGCACTCTACCATTTCACTCTTGACAAGCTAGATTTAGATCGGAAGCCAAGATTGTCGGGAAGCCGGTTGTCGAAATGTGTATTATCGTATTGTCTCTGATTGCGCAGGATTAATTATTCTCTTCTATCTGTTGATTAGTCATGTTAAGTTAGCTTGTGCTCGCATTCCAATCCGTTAGCCAAGTCCGAACACTTGACACTAATGTGAGTAAAATTGTTTTTTTGTTTCAGATGTGAAAGTGATAGAATTCGCGTTGCAATTACGCTTCTTAAATATAAACGCGGACTTTGTTAAACTTACCGTGCAAAATCGAACGTAATATGTATTTGAGCTTAACATAAGCATTAGTTATTAGATATTCAGATTGTTATTTCGCTTATTATTTGCATTATTTCACTCTTCATCGCACGGGTTACGTTATAGTGATCGATACCGTCAAAACATTTGTCAAATTTCGCCGAAATATTCGTTAAATATTTGTTGGAATAAATGAACATGTCGCGTCGCGAGTGATGTACATTCGAGATGAACTTGAGTACTGGAAGAGGCATCTCTTCGATGCCGAAGAGATTGGACGCTGCTCGGACACGAAGCGAAACGGTTTTGGATGCTGCGGCGCATTTCGTCGAGGGACACGAATGTCGATGGATTGGCAGGAACGGGTAATGGTGAGTGAGACGATACAATTTCAATATTATCAGTAGTGCATGCGCGTATGTGGACAATTCGCACTTTTATCGAGAAAAATAACCTCAATGCTGAATCTGTCACTGAAAACTATGAATATCAGTACGATATTTTCTAACAGTACATCTGAATATTAACTGCAAATTTCATGAAATAATTACTGCACACGGAAAGAAAAGTTCGGTTGGGTCAAGTAAAATTTCTGGCAAAATATGAATGAACTAGATATTTCAGTTGAAATTACCCGTTCGAGTTAATAAGATTTCTGATTGAACCTTTGAGCTATATATTTTATTCCTCGGTGAAGTTTTTCAAATTTGGCATATATGAATGATTACCGAGGTCATTGATTACGAATTTGAGGTGAAAAATTTAAAGTTCGAAATGCGGCGGAGGTTCAATATATGACGATCATAAATTTTCAAAATTAGAAATCTTGCTTTTAGCATTATCTGGAATTAACGATATTTTCTCGACATAAAAAAGAGATATTTGCGTTTTTGATAAAAAGCTTGTGCAGCAAACATATTATCAATATTTCGACAGTTTGTTGTAAAAAATAGGGTTTACAGAAAATTAAAAAAAAATGTATAAAATACTGTCAATTCTCCTTAATAAACTGTTAATATTTCAATATGTAAATTCCTAATAGTTATTCCTAAAATGATTTTTGTCTGAAAAATGCCATTTTTTTGCTCTCAACACATAATAATTTAGTAATTAAACATACAAATTATCTCTTACTTATTTGCAGTTCTTTATGTTTATGAAAGTGTACAGTAATAATATATCGACTATGTTTGATAAGTTAGTTAAAATCGCTAAAAAAGAAGAGGAGAAATAGGTGGAACGCTAGCGCCCCGTTACGGCACGAAGGGTTAACTCGAACAGAAAATTTGACGCTAACGTCAAGCAGAATTTTCTGGCTCGTTTATATTTCACTATTTAATCCGGCCAAACATTTTTTTGCGTCGTGCGCGATCGCATATCGGGGAAGAGATACCTCGCTCAGGCGCGACGGTGGAAAAAGGCGTTTCTTAGCTTTTCGCGTTGCTTCGTCCCGTCCGCGGCGATTCGCGGCGTTCGAGAGAATGCATTCGGGCGGCGTGCATCGGGTGTGAATTCGGGAGCCGTCATACCCCGATCACGCGTCACGCAACAACCGCGTCATGGACAGCTCGCTGAGGACAATCGCGTTAGCGGACCGCAGTGGGCAAATTGAAGGTCCGATATTCGCGCGGCAGAAGGGAAACAAGTTGACGCTTCGTGCGGGCCGGCGGGGGCAGGAAGATCGGTCGATGCCGCTTGGCCGTTATTCGGACGACGACACTTCGCCTCCCAGTCCTGGCCGCCCCCTCTGCAGCCCTCGCCGATCCCCCTCCGCGGTCCCCCCTTCCCCCTTACCGCCGGCAGCCCGTGCGCGTCCTCCGCATCACCCCCGCCCTTGTTGCGCCCTTTCTGTTTCCCCTTTCCGAAGTCTGCGAGCCGGCAGCGACCTCGTGGCTCCGTCTCTCGTCTTATTAAGCGGAGAAAACTACCGAATGAAATTTCCATCCGGCTGCGAAACACGCTCGCGTCGGTGTCATCCCCCGTCGCCGCCGCCGATCAGCTAATATCCCGGATCCCGCTGGCTCTCTCGTCGTCGTCGTCGTCGTCGTCGTCGTCGTCGTCGTCGTCGTCGTCGTTGTCGTTGTCGTTGTCGTCGTCGTCGTCATCGTCGCTGCCGGCGCCGGCGTCCTCGCAGTCTACCTTTGACGTGACTGAAATTCGATTTGCGTACAGTCGAGAAGTTGCAAAAATGTTTCCGTTACAGCGTAACCAACTTAGCGCCCGGGTTAACCGCTCTTGATCGGGTGTCGCGTATCACGCGTGGCGACATAACCGGAG